GGTTGGATTACGGCTCAGGGGTCTGGGCCATAACTTTTTTCAGAATCGACGAAAAAATCTGAAATTTGGTATGGGGGCACTGTGAACGATGATCTACCGATTGCCTATATCAGCTGCACCGTCGCCGCCCCCGGGGGCGGCAACCACGCCGGGGGCGGCGAAAACATGCAGATACGTCTGTTTCGTCGATCTTATCGTGTTCTACGTCCCGAGTTACCCCTGTAGCCCAAATTTCAAAAATACATACAAATGTTTTTTTAAGTTACACAACAAATGTAGAGTTTTGTTTTATACATATGCTTTTTTTGATAAATAAAATATTACTTTTACGTTTTTTTTTTGGAAACTCGAAAAAATTTGTATCCTATTTTGTTCCTATTCGCCTAGAGCCTAGAGCTTATTAAAACGCGAACCACTAGTATGCCTATTCACCACAATGGCAGGTAAATAGGAACATTAAAGGTAAGTTCATGCAGTAGCGATTTGCGATTTGCGGATTTCAATTTGATTGGTTGAAATAAAATATTTTTGACATCCATTTCTTCATTTGAATATATTGCGAGAATCGCAAAATTTAAATATAGGGGGCGGGAAAATAGAAACGGTTTCTATTTTTGGCGATTATCGCAATAATTTTGACAAACTGCGTATTCCGGCCAGTTCCGTCATTCACAAGTAATTAAAATACTTATTAGTATCATGTAACCTCATACCTCATCTCATTTCCATTGCCAAATTATGATAAGCGCCCAGAAGCCTGTTTTTTGCAAGTACTTTTCAACTTTTCACTTTTTTGGCTATATATTTTCTGTTTTCAAAATTAATATTCAAAAAAACAGATGGTAATCTGCACGATGAAAATGAGTAGGTAGCTGAAACTACTTAAAACGCATAACATTTATGTTTTATAAGATTTTTTATAATTCTTCGCTTTTCTACATTTGTAAAGTGAAAAGTTGAAAAGTACTTCAAAAAAATAGTCCTCCGGTCTTTCCTGTTTTAAAATATCGCTCTCCCGGCACAAGTTCATTTCTGACATGCAATCATCTACGCTATTGACAATAAATAACATAATGATAATCACTGTTATTTATCACATTCATCGTTGAAGAATGTTTATTTATGAATGTCTTGGTATCACAGATTAGTAATATTGCTTGGTATTGTCTAATGTCCTTCGTATGTATTCACAAAAATATTTTGTGAGTTTAGGTTATGTTGTTTAAATTTACTTAAATATGTTCACATTCAAAAAGTTTTTTAATAAACGCTGGGCAATAGTAGGTAGCAAAAAAAAAGAACTCAGTTCTTACTAAGATCGGCCCAAGCGGCCTAGTGCGGACTAGCTCCAGGTTGTAAAATAAAATCCCCAAGGTCGTTAAATTGCCCAGGGAAAAGTCTAACTGTGACACAAAACAAAAGGGACACGAACAAGAGCTGATTGTTTAGGAGTATTCCTCCCTTAGTCTAAGGTGCAATCCCCTCCACTTTCTGGCTTGGGATGACCTTGAGGCCGAAGGCCGATGACGTTTGTGTTTGGATGACCTTGAGGCTGAAAGCCGAAAGTGACGTAGGTTGGTGACTTTCATTTGACCTCTGCATTGCAGTTAACCTTGAAATTAGATTTGTATGGTATCTGAGAGAGGAGGAATTTTACACTTGAGGCCGAAGGCTGATGACGTTGGTGTATGGATGACCTTGAGGCTGAAAGCCGAAAGTGACGTAGGTTGGTGACTTTCATTTGACTTTGGCATTGCCGTTAACCTTGAAATTAAATTTGAAATATGTCTATCGGTGTGGATAAGTATCTTATGAGGGTGTGGCGACCTTGAGCTAGTTCAAAAGACGAAAAAATATCACATTATGTGACGTCATTCGCTTGATTTACGTTTAAATAATGCATTTAACCTTGAAATTAAATAGTTGTTCTAATTTTGTGTATACATTGTGACGTGGCGCATTTGCAGTGTATTTTCTATATAAGAGAGGAGATCAGAGTGAAGAATTACATTTCGCTGTGTGCCAGCCATGCAGAACTATTACAACTCCTAAAATATTCTGCTGCCCTCGTATGCCTGCCCTCGTATACATAGTCACATATTTGGCAGGTAAAAGAATAACTGACGAAACGATCAATAAATAGCCACGCCTACTTAAAATGTCGGTTAAATTAAAGTTTAAATGTTTCTATATATATAATATAACATTCAAAGGACAATTAAGATATTTTACGAGTATTGCCTTGAACGAATACCAATGCTAAACTATTCAACGAACGATCTCAAATAATCCACGAGAGGAAAAACGCGCGAGAAGCACATGCTGACTTAACCTTGAAACAACATGTACTTCGATACCAAAAAATAAAATTCTAATGTTTGAATGCATAACCTTGAACAGATTGCGATCAATATCACGCATACGTTTGGAGCTAAAATAAAATAACTATTCAACGAACGATCTCAAATAATCCATGAGAGGAAACCTTGAGGCCGAAGGCCGATGACGTTGGTATATGGATGACATTGAGGCTGAAAGCCGAAAGTGACGTAGGTTGGTGACTTTCATTTGACTTTGGCATTGCTGTTAACCTTCAAATTAAATTTGAAATATGTCTATCGGTGTGGATAAGTATCTTATGAGGGTGTGTCGACCTTGAGCTAGTTCAAAAGACGAAAAAATATCACATTATGTGACGTCATTCGATTGATTTGCCTTTAAACAGGGCATTTAACCTTGAAATTAAATAGTTGTTCTAATATTATGTATACATTGTGACGTGGTGCATTTGCAGTGTATTTTCAATATAAGAGAGGAGATTAGAGTGAAGAATTACATTTCGTTGTGTGCCAGCCCTGCAGTGAGTGTCTACAATAGTGTAAATTTTGTGTAAAAAAATTTTTTTAAGTGAGAACAATTATTATTGTATTTATTGCTAACTAGATATTACAGGGAATTATAATATAAAAATGGCATTATCAATTGATGAATTAAATAAAATAAATAGTAATATTAACGGTGAATTCAACGATATTATGCGAAGGTCAGTTTCCTCGTTGGAAATTGATACACAATATCCGATAAAAAAACTATCTTTTGTCAATACACGTTTTGGAAAGTCCATTTTAGCTATATTGTTTGACGAAAAGTGTAATTTAAATTTCAAATGTTTTTTACCAAAGAGGGTTACAGAACACATAACAGAAGATATTTTGAATAAATTGAATTCCTCTTGGGAACAATATACGATAACTTATTTAGGTCAAAGTGAGCCTGTATTTAAAGATGGTAAATGTAAAGCGTTGTTAAAATTTGGAATTGTCATTTAATTTTTGTTTATTTAATTAAAAAAAAAAAAATATATATCTAGTAGTAACAAATATGTTTTATATATAGAGTATATTCTAGTCAATATAAGTAATTTACACTATTTAGTCAGTATAATAATATAAGGTGGCTTCTCTGTTAATGTTTTTATAATTCCAATAGGTAATGAATAATTTTTAATCTTATTACTATAATACCCGTTTTCATATCTTTTTTTTTTATTTATTTATAGAACAACTATTGAAAATGTGGATGCATTATGCTAGTCAAAATTGGACCGATGCTGAGGACCTCCAGTCAGCCGTAAAGAGATTGATGAACGAGCTAGATTGTGTGGCAATAGATTGTCTTCACGCATCTAATTATGACATGAATTACTGCTTCTCTGAAGAAAAAATTAAACAGTTGGAGGAGGATTATGAAAAACATCGCCGTGGTGCATCATTATGTAGTAATTATTTAAGTGAAACTATAAATTTGGACAATTTTTGTGTGAAAATGGTGGAGATAGGACTAAAACAATTTGTTATTTCTAATTTGTTGGATTATCTACCATATGCAACTGTTGTAAAATACAAATTAGCAGCTCAAGAAAATAATGCTGGTAATGAAGATGATATATAACATATCATTAAATTTTTATGTAATTTATATATTATCTTAAAATTGTATAATATTATATATCTAATATTAACAAATTTTATTGTATTAACTATTTGTCTTTTATTGTAATGTGGAATAAACAATATAAATATAAATATTTTTTAACTTTTATTGTTGTCTTATTTGTTAAATGAGAGGAGAAAAAAGTATATAAATAGCATAATTAACCTTGAAATGACATTTGTCTAATGTGATATAGGAAGAAATGATACATGAGGAGGTGACCCTCAGTTGACATATTTAAATGCTATTTTTAAATATTTCGTTATAGTGTGACAATAGCTCTAAGTTCATAAGTTTGTAGCGAATTTATAGAATTCAGGATGTAAAAAGAGAAAAGAAATAAATATATATTAAAATAATAGTCAATATATAATTCTACAAAGTGTTTGTTTATAAATAATAATGCATAAATAAGTAACTATTACAATTCCTAAAATATTCTGCTGCCCTCGTATGTCTGCCCTCGTATACATAGTCATCTATGTAGCGGATAAAAGAAGAACTAACGAAACGATCAATAAAATAGCCACGCCTACTTAAAATGTCGGTTAAAATAATATTCAAATATATAATATAACCTTCAAATGACACTAGAAGCGATCGATATTTTATAGACCACGCCTACACGGGAGAAATTCAAATATTTCGCGAGTGTGGCCTTGAACCATACATTCAACGGACGAACAAAAATAATCAATGAGAGGAAAAACGCGCGAAAAGGTATATGACTAACATAACCTTGAAACCATTAATAAATGTTTTTACCAAAATGATTTTTGTTAACGCGTTATTACATATAAGTTTTTAGAATGTATACAATACTTTATGTTGCACTACATAATAAAACTTTTTACAGTGCTATTACATATAATGCGGATATTGTTTATTGGGATTTTATTTCAAATGTTTGTCACATGCAGCCCGGCAAATAATTTTGCGCCTTGTGCATTAGAAATAATCAATTTACAAGTACCAGTTATAGGTTATTGTTAAAATAATTTTAAATGTATCTGGTACATGAATTTTCAAAGAGGATGGCGTAGGGTGGTGATTTTCATTTGACCTTTGCATTGCAGTTAACATTGAAATTAGATTTGTATGGTATATGAATTTTATATGCGAAGATTATCTTCATTGAAATATGTCTATTTAACTGATACCCACGTATACACATCCATCTATTGAATGGATGAATGAGTAACTAACGAAACAATCAATAAAATAACCAAGCATACTTAAAATGTCGGTTAAAATAAAATTCAACAGCTTAACCTTGAACACACTACGATCGATATTTATGTCACGCCTATATCTGGCGCTAAAATAAAATTTAAATATGGCGCTGTTGTTATCGGTGTGTTATGTAACTAAATCTTCAAGCGAAACGATCAATACTTTTGCTCATGCCTAATACGATTCGAGCTAAATAATATTTCAAACATCAAATTTGCTGGTGTTTTAAAAACGTTGCAGTTAACCATGAAATTAAATTTGTTTGGCGCGAATGATACATACAGCATGTTATATGACCTTGATTTTAAATATATTCAGTTAAATGCGACAGATAAATATTGTTTGTGAATGTCACCTTGAGAATTTTGCTTTGATATTGAGGTGATATTGGAATGAATACAACGCATGCTTGAACAGCTGTATATATAAGGAATGGAGTATGTATGAAATTCATTTGTGAATAACGATCTCAGAGTGATATATACTAAAAAAAAGGAAATATGGTTTTGTGCGGTAGGTACCTGTGGTAAAACCTTTACGCGTAGTGACAACTTGCGTCGCCATGAAAGGGAATCTTGTACTCCCAGTGAACCTATGGCAAAACGATTGAAATTAGTACATCATGATCAACAATCAGCGAACAATCAAACAATTAAATGTTGTGATAAGCAAATACCCAGGAGTCAAATACATGCTCATCGAAGGTCATTGGAACATAAAACATTGTGCTGTACTCCAAAATCTGATGGCGTTCAAATTATTAATACGGCATTTAAGTGCAGTATAATAAGTTACAGGGTGTATAGTGAATCAAAACATACAGACTTTAATGAGTTTTTTAGTCATGTGAAACCTAAAATAATAATTTTGTTGGAGGATGTCATTAATATTCATAAATCCATAAAAGTGAACATAGAAACGTTCGCAAAATACATTCTACAAACCCGTGACACTTGCGACGTAAAATCCTTTAATAGTTCCAATAGGATTCTGGACGAGTCTGTGGATTTAGATGATATTTTACAAAAATTTATAGATATGATGACATCGCAAACAAGTGAATTTGAGGAGAAAGATTCTGGTATGTAATTATTAGAAGACGATAAACAAAGTTCGTTTACTTATATATAAAATTATTGTTGGGCAAATTATAGGTTGGGCCATCGAGGAAATATTGTATGTGGAGGTGAATATAAATAAGAACAGTCCGCTTAGTGGATCCTCTTATATGAAGTTACCCAAGTTTTTGGAGAACAAGAGAGCGATAATAAATATAAAAAATCAAGACCAGTACTGTTTTGCCTGGGCAATAACTTCGGCATTATATACACCTAGGGGTCCAGTCCATGAGATGTCCTCATATCCGCATTTTTCGTCGTTTTTAAATTTGGTAGGTATGGATTTTCCAGTTAAATTGAAAGACATATCAAAATTTGAAACGATAAACAATATATCTGTGAACGTATACGGTTTAGATAGCACATTCGAAAAGAATAAGTTAAAATATGAAATAGTGGGACCTTTGCGTTATTCACAAAATAAATTAAGATATCACGTGAATTTGTTGCTTATCACTAAGGAGTGTGGCCAAAATCATCACTGTACCGTATCATGTTCGAAAAGTCATTACTGTTGGATTAAAGATTTGTCGAGGTTGGTTTCTCGTCAGCTTTCCAATAACAAAAATAAAAAATATTTTTGTGACGGATGTTTAATGTATTTTGGTAATGAGAGTCTGTTATTGCGACACCAAAGACACGATTGTAATCATATTTACACCACTACACCGAGTTTGGAATTGCGTGTAGATAAATTTGGCAAAAGTGTTCCGGAAAATGTGTTGAAATTTGAAAATTTTGAAAAACAAATGAAAGTGCCTTTCGTGGTGTATGCAGACTTTGAGTCTATTTTAAAACCTATTGATACATGTGAACCCAACCCCGGAAAATCTTATACATGCAAAACTTTCATCCACGAGCCATTTTCGTTTGCTTATTTGATAAAGTGCTCTTTCGATGATTCACTATCGAAATTTGTGTTTTATAGAGGGAATAATGCGTCAAAAATATTTGTAGAACGTTTAGAGTCAGATTTAACCGAAATATATAACAATTTTTTGAAAAATATAGTGCCAATGACACCTTTGTCTGAGGAAGAGCAGAAAGATTTCGATAATGCAAAGGTTTGCGCCATATGTGAGAAACCATTCGAAATGTGGCAACCAAAGATAAAGGACCATTGCCATTTAACGGGAAAGAAAAGATTTGGGGCCAGTCATTCGGTTTGCAATTTAAATTATAAAATACCGAACTTTATTCCCATTATATTACACAACTTTTCCGGATATGATGCACATTTATTTGTACGCGAGTTGTGCTCAAACAAAGATAAAATCGACGTTATTGCTCAAAGTAAGGAAAAGTACATTTCATTTACAAAACACCTTTATATGTGCGATTATGTTGGAAACGACGGCAAAACAAAGAAAGCTTATTTAAAAATGAGATTTATAGATAGTTTCAGGTTTTTATCAACATCTCTCGAAAACTTAGCGGCAAATTTAAATGATAGTCAATTCGAGGAAATCGTTAAGTATTTTCCGGATCAGGAGCGCTTCAATTTAATTCGACAAAAATGTGTTTTTCCATACAGTTTTCTAACAGATATTAATAAATTGAATAAAAGCGAGTTGCCTACAAAGGATGAGTTTTATGATAAATTGAACGAAACTCATATAACAGATAATGAATGCGAAAGAGCACAGAAAACGTGGAATATGGTTAATTGTCAAAGTTTGGGTGATTATTCCGATATATACTTGAAATCAGATGTGTTAATATTATGCGATGTATTTGAAAACTTTAGAAAATTGTCTTTGAACAAATATAAACTGGATCCATGTCAGTATCTGAGTGCACCTAGTTTGGGGTGGGATGCCATGTTGAGATTAACAAAAATAGAGTTGGAGCTTTTAACTGACGTTGAAATGATACATTTTTTTAAAAAAGGTATTCGCGGTGGAATCAGTCAATGTTCCGGTAGAAAACATATCGGAAATAACAAGTTTCTTCCAAATTTTAATCCAAACGAACCTTCGTCTTTTATAACATATTTGGACGCGACGAATCTATATGGGCATAGTATGTCACAGTGTTTACCAACCGGGGGATTTACGTGGTTAACAGAATCAGAAATCTCTCAGTTGGATGTTATGGATATTCCAGACGAAGGGTCTTATGGTTATGCATTAGAAGTAGATGTAGAATATCCTAAAGAATTACACGATGTTCACGCGGATTTACCGATTTTGGCTGAGAATATGATTCCACCCGGTGCAAAATCGATTTCCAAATTAATTCCAAATTTAAATAACAAAAATAAATATATAGCACATTTTAGGAATTTGAAAGTTGCAATTAGAAACGGTTTGAAGGTAACGAAAATACATCGCGTAATTAAATTTAATCAGAGCGCTTGGTTGGAAGTATATATCGATCTTAACACAGAAATGAGAAATGCCACAAATAATAAATTCGAAAAAGATCTCTATAAATTAATGAACAATGCTGTGTACGGCAAAAGCTTAGAAAATGTTGATAATAGGAAAGATATTAAACTTGTAACTCATTGGGAAAAAGTTCGTCAATCGTTTGGGGCTAACACGTTAATCGCTCGACCGAATTTTGAGACATGCACAATTTTTTCAGAATATTTCGTTGCTATACATATGGGCAAATTGAAAGTTAACTACAGCAAACCTATATACCTAGGTTTTAGTATATTAGAATTATCTAAAACGGTGTTGTACAATTTTTTTTACGACACAATAAAAACTAATTTCGGCAATAAAGCTTCTTTATTGTATACTGACACCGATTCGTTAATAATCAAAATTTATACCGATAACTTTTATGCTTTTATGAAATTGAATATAGATCGCTTCTATACGTCAAACTACAAGGATGGAAATAAGTTTGATGTTCCAGTATCTCGCTCGATATTGGGCAATTTCAAAGACGAATTTCCATCTGATCCAATAACAGAATTCTATGGCACGGGAGCTAAAGCATATTACGTAAAATCTATAAATAGTGAATTGAAAAAGGCTAAAGGGGTTAAGAGGTCTGTTATAAAAAACAATTTGACCGTGGACGATTACCAGAAAATCGTAGATCGGGGCGGTTTAATTTTCAGAAAAATGAACTCTTTCCGAAGTGAGTTACACAACATTTATACGGAATTAAAGAACAAAGTGGCTCTCTCTCATTACGACGATAAGCGTTTCATCATTCCCAATACTGTTTCAACTTTACCCTGGGGTCACAATGATATCCAGTTCTATCAAACCGAATACGATAAAAATTTTGATTGGTTCGTGACAGTCATAAGCCAGACCGCGGGTATGAGTAATTCGGAAAACAATTTACAAAATTTAATTCGGGCACTTGAAGAAATTGTCGAATAACTGGAAAATCCATAATTATCAGGAAAAAAATGTATATTGTTGTATATATAACGTAATTTTATATTATTTTTAATAAAATGTACCTAACAATTATATCATTGCATATGTTATTTATATTATGACATAATTTATATTTAAATGTGTTATTGTAAAGTGTAAAATGTGTTATTTTAAAAATCATTATGTAAATTGTATATCATATTAGAGAATTTTAATGTATTAACTATTCCCCTCTTATTCTTACAATTGTAGTGTGTTATAAATAAAATAAATAAATGAATTTAAACTTTTATTATTGACTTATTTGTTACATGGGTACAGAAAAATACATATAAATAGGTTAGATAAATACATAAAAACACTAAATCAATTACATATAAATAGGTTATATAAATACATAAAAATATTAAATCAATTACATATAAATAGATTAGATAAATACATAAAAACATTAAATCAATTACATATATAAATACATTAACAAAAAAAATTGTTGCAACTTGTACAATGTTCGTTAGATTACTTAAATCCATTATGTACAGAACCATCCAAAGCATTGTATGTCAAGTAAGTATCGTGAATTATCAATGCATAAACTCGTGTATTGTCAGGAAAATGTCTTTTTCGAGTTTCAAACTCTAGTTTTATGTCTACAGTGGATGATTTCATGGCATCTAGTTGATGTGAACAATCTATAACAAATAGAGGATTTTTTCTGAATTCTCCAATATCCATCATCGGTTCATAATTATATTTATCATAGAAACTGCATCTAAAGTTTTCGTAGGCGTAGTAAGCTGCGGAATCTAGTTTCTTTTCGAAATCCAAATTCCAACGTTCATACGGATACACTTCTGAATTTAAGTATAACCGAATATTGCTCATATCTGCATGATTGAATTGTGTAATATCCTTGGTCCTATTATCATAGCAATCAGTACTTTGGAAACAGATAATGATATATCGAGGTCTTTCTAAACTGTTTGTTGTTTTTATAGCCCAGATATCAGTGGCGGTTTTTCGGAGTGTTGGTAATTCATATAAATCCCACATACGATATGCCATCTTAACTGTAGCATTAGCGCCACCTTTATTAATACGATTTAATAGTTTTAATTTTTGTCTATCTTCAGGGACAATATGCCTTATCTTCCATTCAATTTTATTAATTTCAAGGTCGGCATCGACTTCTCCGATATAGCAATTCTTAAAAGATCGGGCAATTATCAGTATAAGCTCTTGCTTGACATTGAGAATGCCCCTGGTATAATCTTCTGCAAAACCCATAAGATATTTTAGAGGTAATTTCCCACTAAAAACATGTGTTGTTGTATCCAAAATATCTTGTTTTTCTTCTGTTAGTCCCCATCCGTAAGATAATAGCGTTTTTAATTGCATTTGGCCACATGAAACCATTGTNATTGTAGCTCTGTTGACGCTCGTAATTATAATAAATTTTTATTTTTGGGTTTGATTTTATGTAGAAATATTTTACAAGCTCCTTGGGTGGGGGGAGATCTCCAAAACTGTCGTAGTAATTAATAATGTTACCGATTTTCTTATATGCCACCCAATGAGTTCCCTGACCATTTATACTATCTAAATTCAAAACAGCCGATTCGTTATGTCGGGCACCTCTCTCAGGAAGATTGTCTCGCATAAATACACCTCGAAAATATGGAATTTTTAAGATATCTGCATAATAGATAATATCTATATTGCTGAGAGCTCTTCGAGGTAGAGACTTTAGAAGTTTTTTGAATTGCTTGGGTTCAAATAAAGCCCTAAACCTGTTCGATATGGTTTTAAATATAATCCTTCGCCATTCTTTCCCAGGGATACAGATTCAATTTTTTTATTATTTGTTTTTTCAGATAGTCGTTGATTGGCATTTCTCACTTCGTTGATTGTTTTATATATACCCGCAGCACTGCCAGCTAAACTTCCCAACGCCGATAGTCCCGCAAATATTGGAATTAGGGGTAAAACTCCACCAACTTTCGGGATCGGTATAATTCGTGGGGTGCGAATATTTCTTTTACCCCCCGATGATTTCACATATTTTCGTGCTGCTCGCAAAGCGAATTGTGTTGCTTTTTGTGCGTTATTAGAAACGAAACGTTTACCACCAGCTTTTCGTATTTCATGTCGTACTTTGTGAACAATGGCACCCCCAAAGCTGACTTTTTTAATATTCTTCTTCTTCTTTTTATTTGTCTTCCTTTTGGTAACTGATTTGGATTTACAACCCATGCCTAGACGTTGTTTCGCCTTCATTATATTCGTAACTAACCAAGCACCTGCCTTTTCTTTCAAATTAGCGTCCTTTGATTTCACTCTGTTCCATGCACGTTGTTCTAGTTCATAATCTGCTTTATGTCGTGTTGGTAAATCTTTATAATTCTCGTACTTTTGATCATGAGCCATACAAAAAGAGTCTAATTTGTTTTTTCCAATATCCCCACGCGCTAATCGCTTTTGAAGTTTTGTTCCGGGTCCACAATACTGATAGCCCGGTAAATGTAATTCAAACGGTAGTTTATCTATCAGAGAATTTACAAATCCTTTTCCTGTCTGTAATACTTTATGTCTAGATTGGTTGACGAACGGCATTAAATTGAGCAAAAAGAAATAATCAAATATATTAATTTATAAAATATATATATATATTTGACAAAGTAATTACAGCGTCGACGCACTTTGAATGCTAGCTATCAATTAAATATTGAGCACACAGTTCGTTCCTAGTTATATAGTATCCAAAACTCAAGCGATGCGGGTTGTAAAACAGAAGGATTCATTTATAGTGGATAATTTCGACGAATATGTGGGAAGTGGTGTAAATGNAATCGATGTAAAATTTCCCTGGGAACACGATGGTGCAATTATTTTTTTGCTACTTGCCGCGGTTTACGAGATATTTGCGAAAAACCTTATTTTTTACGGGTTTTTGACCTTTTGACCCCTTTCCTGACCACCTAGGTCAAAAATTTTTGCGGATTCGGATTCCTGAGGATCGAAAACATAATTGCGCCCAGGTTTGATCGACAGAGGAAAAAATGGAGGTTCAGCCTTCATTTCAATGGACTACGTTGTGGAATACCAACATTTCCTATTTAAGTGTCAACGAAAACTCTCGTATATCAGAAGGAGAGGCAGTTTTTATCGCTGGTCATGTGGTACTATGTGGGAAAATTGGACAAAGTAATTTAAATTTAGAAATTTATTCATTGTGTCTACAAACTAGTGCCCTTACTAACAACGCTCTTGAAATTCGAGGAGTATTGTCTATCGACAATAATATTTTGAAAATTTCTTCAATTTGATGAAAACTTAATTCTGGATTTTTCCTGGACCATGAAGAACAATCATGAACTGAACAATAATAGTTCGACAATTTCTTCTTTTTATCCATAACCCTAGATAATGTCCATAACTGCTGAAGTTTTCCTCACACTATTTTTTTAATATAACAGTGTTCAAAGCAAACACTATGCACAGTTTTTTAAATAAAGTACAAAACGAAGTGTCACACAAGAAATCTTTACCTTGTTTCACTAGTATCAGTTGTCACCGCTAGAGGGCGAGCTCTTAGCTGCATTCGCGTATTAATGTGTAACAAACTGAGATGCATATGTTTTTTATAATTGTCTACAGTAACAAGGTCAATTTTTATGTAAATGAGGTAACCCAAAGTAAAATTGGTTATCAATTGTCGTATTCTAATCTGTTATTTTTTAATGGTTATCTACAATAATGAACATCGTTTTAAGTATAATAATAAAAAAAACACATGTTTTTACATTTAATATCAGGCTAGTTTAATAAATTGTTACATACTCAGATGCATACGTTTTTATACCTGTCTATTAATTATTTTCACATGCTTTGTTAAATCTACAGTAACAGAGTCAATTTTTATGTAAAAATTGTTGTATTCTAATACGTATATACTTTGTTAAATCTACAGTAATATAGTCAATTTTTGTGTAAAAAATTGCAATATTCTAATCAGTTATATGCAATTTTCGATGCATTATATGCAATTTGTATACATTCCGACTGTCAATTTTTGTGTAAAAAATTGCAGTATCAGTTATATGCAATTTGCACACATTCCGACTGTCAATTTTTGTGAAAAAAATTGCAATATTCATCAGTTATATGCAATTTTCGATGCATTATATGCAATTTGTATACATTCCGACTGTCAATTTTTGTGTAAAAAATTGCAGTATCAGTTATATGCAATTTTCGATGCATTATATGCAATTTGTCCGACTCAATTTTTTTGAAAAATGATTGCAATATTCTAATCAGTTATATTCTCGAATTTTCGAAGCAGTATATGCAATTTGTATACATTCCGACTGTCAATTTTTGTGTAAAAAATTGCAGTATTCTAATCTGTTATATGCAATTTGCACACATTCCGAATGTCAATTTTTATGTAAAAATTCGCTATTGTCTACTAACCCGCAATGAAATGTATCATTTTTATCAAAAGTAATGCATTGAATTATAATTTTCTTATATTGATTGCACTCTATGGTTTGCCTACATTCCAACAGTGTATGTATAGGACTTAATATTTACATAAAATAACTGGAAAATACATAATTATTATCAAAAAAATGTATATTGTTGTATATAACTTAATTTTATATTATTTTTAATAAAATGTAACAATTATATCATTGCATGTGTTATTTATATTATGACATAATTTATATTTAAATGTGTTATTGTAAAGTGAAGTGTTATTTTAAAAATCATTACCTATGTAAATTGTATATCATATTAGCGAATTTTAATGTATTAACTATTTCCCTCTTATTCTTACTATTGTAATATGTTAAATAAATGATTTTAAACTTTTATTGTTGACTTATTTGTTACATGAGTACAGAAAAATACATATAAATAGGTTAGATAAATACATAAAAATATTAAATCAATTACATATAAATAGGTTAGATAAATACATAAAAAATATTAAA